CATCCTGTCCCACAAGCAACAGCCTTAAAATGGCCAAGAAAAGAGTTCTCGATCAATTGAATGAAGACATGTGGAACCCGACGAAAACCTTATCATCAACATTTCAACACTATTTCAGGATTCTTTGTGTGACACACATAAATACCATCGTGCATGTAGAAGCTTCTGCTACAATAAATCATTGCGTAGACAAAAGAATCATTGAAAATATCGACCAAGTCGTCCGCAACGTTATCACACGGCCTGATGAAGTAAGACGGTTTGTCGAAGAATTTGTCAAAAGAGAACTTTTTGTAGAGACTCTTCATGAAGAACGGCCAATAGTTACAAATCGCAAGTACTATCCTACGTGACAAGACATAAGAAACCACATTGCTAGGGCGATCGCGACGACCAAGTCCACTAAGGATGACCAAGAGGCCTTGCGTCAGAAGATACAAGAGTGGCAGGAAACGAGTTCGGGAAATTTCTTTACCGACCAAAGAGAAAAAACTACGACACTGTTGATGCGACCGACAGCGACAGGTTTTTTTCGTACACTAAGAAATTTGGCAGCAAAGACTGCTTGCAAGATACGGATCAGACCCGGTTCTACTTGACGCGACTTAATAAACTGCGAAATACGTCCTACCATTATTCTTTATGTGGGATATAAAGCGGTTGCTGAATTTCTTTGCGAAAACGAGGATACAGAGTCCGTAGCAGAGGCACTTGCGATCATTAAAGGCTGGAATATCGGTTGGGATCCCGCTTATTTCATGACCGACTACTCCCAAGCGGAAATTAACGCAATTGAGAGGGGATTTCCTGATGCCTTGGTTTACATATGTGATTTACACTGAAAACAGGCTTGGAATCGATGGGTACGTTCATCCAAGAATGGTCTAAATGCAAAAGAACAAGAAGTTCTGACTACTCAATTGGAGCGTGTAGCTTATGTAGCTTATCACTATTCAACACGGCTCTAGATACACTACGGAAGTCAAAGGTTTATATGACAAAGCCAAATGTTAAATAGTATGTAGAAAAACATCGGTGTCATGTGCTGAATTTGGGCACAAGCTTTCCGCACCAAGATTTCAAGTACGATTACCTATCTAGATCGGTCAACAAGTTGGTGTTTGGTATTGCCTTAAACTTGGTTGAATCCTTCCTTACTGATTCATATCAGCAATGCAAAGATGCAAACTTCAAGTTCAGTAGTTCCTATAGAAGTTATAACGACGAGATTCCCCGGAGTCTCCAAAACCGTCCAACTCATTTCTTGAAGCACTGTATGAAGAGTAGCTTAGCGACTAGCGACTTTCGCGAATGTGATGTTAAATGTATCGACCTAAACAAAGGTGTTTTCAAAGTTACAAGCTCGTGGCAAAGCACAGAGATGTATTCTGTCGACCTTCAAACTCCAAGATGCACGTCCGAAGCATGGCGTAAGTCCAACCTTGGTAAGTAAAGAAAACACACTGAAAGTGGACCGGCGCCAAAGGTATCACACAAGATTTCAACAGCTTGCAGATGCCAGTTGTCACCCCGGTCTCACAAACACCAGAAAAACCTGAAAGTACCAATAAAAACAAGAAGAAAGTAAAATTCAATGTCTAAGTTAAATAATTTCACACATTCACTTTTAGTAAGTAAATTATTTGGCTGCATGTAAGTGTCTGCGTGTAAGAATACTACAGAATATTTGGGTACACTTTTAGGGGCATAGCATGCAGTGTGGTTCCAAGAATTAAGTTAGCCAGAAAAAGAATGGTCTTGTCTGCAGCGATTTGATGCTTGAAGTGCAACATATTAAAGTAACAGTGGCACACTTGTGGACAGTATTAAAACCTGACATGATAACACCTGATGAATATGAACAGATCAAGAAGGAAATACCAGCATTTATCCCCGGGATGGTTAACTGATTCTGTAAGTAATAGTGTATCATTGTAATATTTAGAAATTGGAGAGTTACTCATTGCAGCATTGGTTTTGATATGAAGCATGATTCCGTTTAAATTAATATGCTACTTTGCTGAGGATTTAATGACTTTAATGAGAGTTCGTAAAATACCATTTGCAGACCAATTTCTAGTTACAAGGCAGCTACCTTAATTGTGTTTTGTAATTATGATATAGTTTTATATATTTTTCTAAGGTGATAGATGCCTATCTACAATATTTTGAAAGCAAGTACAAGACAGCCTTGGTAGCTCCTCTTGCATTTCACTAGTGGTTATGCGCAATGGTAGCACTCGACGCACTTGGTCCGGGGTTAACTTTGATCATGTAAAAGTTATAGCTACTTTTCCCACTTAATTTTTTCTGGAAATCACTGGACTCTTTTGCGAGTATTTAGTACTTGGTTGGTTAAAAAACTTTATGCGCTGTAATCATCTCTCTCTGCGCCGTGAAACGTCCGTAGCTCAAAAAGATCCTGATCGTTTGTTTGCCAAAATTGTTTCCTACGTATTACATGTTAGACGACTGCAGTCAAAAAAACAATTACACCCGTGCGATATAATTGCGATGGATGAAACGGCAGTTTCAAAACAACTGGTCATGAAAAAAGTCGAGTTTCAGTTTGTCTGGCTGCCAAGGCACAAAACTGAAACTGATGAAAGTTTTTAAAGGGGCCAAACGTGAAGTTGCAGTTCTTCGCCAGGAATTTAAATCCAAAGCATATATTGCCAGCTCGTCAAATGCATGGATGACGAAAGAACTGACAAACGAATGGGTAACTAACGGTCTCGGTCATCAACAACATGGCGGACAACACTGCTAGTTTAGCAGCTGGAGGATGTCTTAACATATCTTTCGAAGATCGCTTAAATAATATAACCTTACAACAACTTAAAGAAGCGGGCATTACTGTCGATAAGGGAAAGCTTAAATGGAGCGATGATTTTGAATCTCTCAAGTGGTACATCGAAACAACTTTCAAACTTAAAGGAACATGGTCGGCGCCTACCGGACATTTGAAGCAATTTACTGAGGTCTCAGAATGTATTAACATCAGGTATTGTACAAACACAACTTCGCTTCTGATTAATGGAGACGAAGGTAAGAAACTCACGAACATATTAGTAAAGAAAATAACTGGTAACGAGTCGACATTCAAGTCCAATCTGTATCGACTGATGATTCAAGCCAAACAAGCAATCACATAACAATAGAACATGAGGATTTAAATACGGCACAAAAGCATTCATGTATATGTGATCAAGTTACCAACGATATTGAGAGTCTAAAAGCGAATATTTCTACCTTGCAGTCGTCTATATTTTCCTTTGAAAATATACTAAAAGACCATGATGTGATACTGTCTCTCTATAACAAATCTTCAGACTTGAACCAGAAATACTTACAGGAGTTAAATGAGAAAAATCAAAATACAACCTCTCTTGAGCAAAAGCTTGCCCAAGTCGAGAATGAGAGAGACTCCTTACAGCTCGCGACTAGACTCATTGCACAAGACAAACTTTGCCAATATAATTTGTATAAGGGTTCAAGTAAATCTAATTCAGTGAGCAATACTGCAGATTCAAACTCTATTTGTTCCCAATACTGCGAACATACATGCAAAAATAAATGTAATTCTACACTATGGCAAAATGCTCCAAAGGGCAATACAAATGCCCATAAAGCGAACAGTGGACCGCAAATGACAACACCAGGCACGCATAATAGATTTGAATGCCTAACTGATGAAGGTGAAATCATTGAACCTGATCAACCAGAACAAACAACTCAATATTTACCCGGCCTAATCCAGTCAGACAATGCAACTGATCAACAGTCAATTATCGCAGCACACAGCTGTGGAAAACATGATTAACAAGACGCCTGTTCTGGCGTTAACTCCGGCGCACGTGCCAGTCTTTAATATAGAGCTTCTGAACATAAACAATACAGTTCATATTCGCATTTAGATACCTTGCGAACCTATAATTATAAATGTTCGATCGCGAAATTCAGAAGCACATCGTAGTTTAAAAAGTATAGAAGTTCAATTGTTCAAAAATGTAAATAAACCGCATGATACATTCGCTTTGTCTTACACTTTGCCTTTGGAATTCGCGCTTATATAGTTATATTAAATTTTCAATCCTGTGCAAACTACGACGTGTCAACGCGCCCATACACGACCACATCATCTTGTTAAACGGCGAAATAGCAGTGATATTATTAAAATAGGACCAGAATCAACATGTATTAATATATTCTTACCCTAACTCAATCTAAACTTAATCGAACAGCATGAAAACAACGGTTTATTCGTTCCTCTTGCAAGAATTGCCGTATCATGCGAGCGAAATCGAATCGCGCATTGGAAAATTAGCCAAAGCTGTACACCACAACTCTTGGGAGATAAGACTGGGACATAGATAAATCCAATCACATACACATTTCAAATACTAGAATGTTTCGCGCCATTTCAGACTTGCGACGACGAAAAATAAAAATAAAAACAAAAAAAAAACAACAAAACAAAACCGAGGCGAATTTTCAACTCCGTCGCTGACGCCGGAGTAATAATAATAGAGGTATCTCACAAACTGAACATAATGCTGCACAATGTCCTCCTCTGACCATGGAAATTCAAATTCTAATCGATCTGGTATGGAAGCCGAGGAGGGTCACCCCTCGAAAGAAAAACAGCCTTTGGCGAAAATAAAACAACGTTTGGCGAAAGTAAAGCAGCGCTTGGCGAAAATAGAATAGCGTTTGGCGAAAGTAAAATAGCGTTTGGCGAAAATAAAATAACGTTTGGCGAAAGTATAGACTAAAGTAGCGTTTAGCGAAAGTAAAACAGCGTTTGGCGAAAGCATATCGAAAAAGCACGTTGGCGAAAGCTAAAATAAAATGGAGTTTGGCGAAATAAAAAGTAAAATGTGATTTGGCGAAAGTAAAAGTGAAATGGAGTTTCACGAAAATAAAAATCATTTTTTCGCCGAACGCACTTAGCAGAGAAGGCTCAAATCCGCCCCAGGCTTCCCGCGTATTTATCAAACATGGCGGACGCAATGGAACCAGATCAACCAAACAACGAAGATGTTAATAATCATGTTATACTCCCTCGTGATGTCACAAGAGGTAAAATTGCGTGTTATTTTTATATTGATTAATATACATTTATTAAACACTACATAGATGAGCGTTATTGTTATATTAACAGAGATGTACTTACGTATTTTGGACATGGTTAAAAAGATTAAAACAAACGAGACAATTTTACTATATCTGCGCGAGGAATTTGGCTGCGAATGGAGGTTAGTTGGAATGTTTTATAATAGCAGCATGTATTGGAATAAGTTAACGTTCTAACGGATCCTAAGGCTCACATCAGTACGATAGCACACCAGCTCTTACACTATATTTTTGCCCGCTGCCGATCGGTAGGGATGGAGACGGTATCCGAGCGAAACGGTCGGGCTAGGGGTGAAACGGTGTTTCTTTTGAGTTTGCTGTTTTCGGCGCAGATAATAACTCAACGAACCATGCTATATTTAACGGTACCTCCTCCATCCCGTGATCAACTGTCACACGTGAGTCACTGAAGTGAAACCGTGGAATAAACGATACGAACATCAAAGTACACACACACACAAAACAACAAAAAAAAAAACCTGTAAATGTGGCGATCATTAATGAATTTACCTTTACCCCAAACACCCATTCCACGACCAAAACGGGTGTGAAAAGAACAGTGCTTAATCCTGCAAAACAAACTAACAAAAAAAAAACAAACCCCAGCGAGATTAATAAGACGCTTCTCCCGTAGAGTTCACAACATCGCGTGAAGTCGTTAGGGAATGGGTCACGCAAGCAACTAACAACTCGATCAGGCAAACTGGGCTCATATTTGTACTCACCGGAGGGGGCAAGTAGCCGATCGGACAAGCGTCCTAGGACCCGCGACACTACGATACGAAGACCCGTATAACATTAACTTCCTTTATTATTTAATAATAAATACATTTAAATTATTCATGAGAATAATTAATGAACCAAAGAGCAATATGCAAAATGCAGTGTGATACTGTATGAGTGTATGTGAGAATGGACTATTTCAGGATTTCTTTAGGGTAGGCATGTTCATATTAAAATTGAAGACGGTTTTCATAAAAACAGGGGGGCATGTAAATGAAATTGAATAGCCAATTGTTTAGTTATATTTCAAATTGTGTAGTTTATCGACACTGAAGAGACGTTTGAAAGCAATGAATATCAAGAGACATGATCAAACCATATCCCCACAACAAGTGATTAATGCTATTCAGGTGCACTCACTATAATTACCAGCCAATTTAGTAAACTAAACCAGGAATGAAATGCCACTTCTACATTTTGTTGGTATAGATTGAAAATCAGGGAGTTGGAACAGTGATTGGGTACAGGCATATGCAGCAACGTCTTCGACTTCGACATGATCTATTAGTTAAAAGGTTTGTAACAATTATAATTTTCATGGTCTGTGTAGTTCATTATACTATTTGTGTGTATGCATATACATCATACTGTATATGTGCATATTAAACTTACTCTACTTTTAATAGGGATGATGTTTATCAAGGCATGTTGTATGTCGATCCCGAAGGTGTCAGAAGAAGAAAGGCTAATGTGTTAAAGCGACGGGATTATGTTTCAGTGGTAAGTCAACAACAATATATGTAGGCATTAATTATAACCTTATTTATTTTTAATAAATCCCAATTAATAATTATTTATTTAATTGTGTTTAAAATGACAAAACTATCAAACATGTGCAGGGAAGTAACTGGATATGGCATATAGATGGCCATGATAAAATGAAACCTTATGGCTTCACAATCCATGGTTGTGTTGATGGCTTTTCACGCAAAATCATTTGGTGCAATGTTGATGTTACCAATAACGATCCTGCATATGTTGCTCAATACTACCATGATTATGCAAAGTCTTCCAAAGGTATTTGCTTGCATGTTATAGAGTGTATACTGTTAATTATCTATATTACTATATATATATATATTATATATATATATATATATATATACTATATATATCTATATTAATTACCCAACTCCTTTGCTTCCTCCATGAACTTGGTAGTGCGCTTGATAAAGGTTTGCAAACTGATGTTGTATATCTTGACTTCAGTAAAGCTTTCGATAGCGTCAACCACATACTACTGGTCCATAAACTTAAATCTTATGGCATTGGTGGAAGCCTCCTTGGTTGGTTCTCTGACTATCTGTCCAGCCGTACCCAGAGAACTATAGTGGACGGCCACATTTCTGATTCCTGTGCCGTTTTATCTGGTGTACCGCAGGGTTCGATCCTTGGTCCACTTCTCTTTGTAATTTATGTTAATGATCTTCCATCAGTACCAATCAATAATTCCTCGCTATTTCTATATGCTGATGACACAAAGTGCTCCCATACCATACGTGATTGTAGTGATGCTATCTCTCTTCAAACTAACCTGGATCATCTCTACAACTGGACTCAGAACATGGAAACTAAGTTCAACGAGTTGAAGTGTGAAACGCTGACTATCTCCAGGAAGAGAACTCCAGTGTGCCTTGGTTATAAAGTAGGTAGCAATGCAATAAAATCCACCACCAGCCAGAAGGATCTTGGCGTCCTGGTGACGTCTGACCTCAAGTGGAATCTGCATACATCGGCAGCGGTTGGAAAGGCTTACAGGATGCTCGGATTGTTGAAAAGAAATACACGGTCCTTTAGTGAAGAATCCAAAAGATTGCTTTACTTGACTTTTGTGCGTCCTCACATCGACTACGCTAGTGAAGTATGGTCTGGACAGGGTATACACCAGATGAGGAACATTGAAGGAGTTCAACGACGGGCTACCTCTTACATCCTCGGCACACCAAGGTTCTCTGTCCCATACAATGAACGTTTGATTCGAACAAATTTACTTCCAATATCCTACTGGCATGAAATCAAGGATCTACTGTTTCTTCACGCATGTACCTATGGAAAATACAACATTGATCTCGACCGCTATCTTCCTTCTCTTCCAGTAAACAACCTCAGAAATTCCTGTCGGCTTAATCTCCAAGTTCCCCGATCTAGAACCAAATGTTTCCAAAATAGTTACTTCATTCGCTCTGCAAGACTCTGGAATAGCTTGCCAAATCACCTGAAGCAAGTTCCTGTATATAACGCCTTCAAAAGAATGCTTAAGTCTACCTACAATACCGCTCTCCAAGACATCTACAACATTGAAGTTATTTCAACCTGGCGCTCTATATGTCTACGTTGCAACTCATTAAGATCTTTCTTTCAACCCTGGAACCAATCACATTGTTGCTAAAGCTGAACTCTGTGTCGCTTGTTTGTCTGTTCGTTTATCTGTTCGTCCGTCCGTTTTATGTCTGTGACGTCAGTGTGTTATAAGGGTTAGTGACCTTAGTTAGGGTATTATAACCCTGTTGTCACTAGCCTGTGTATATCTGCTAACATGTATACGCAAAATTTACTAAATAAAAATAAATAAATATATATTCTTATATATTAATGTTATAATGATAATGATAATGATAATGTATTCCAGTAATCCCTGCAATCACCCGTACTGATGGTGGAACTGAAAATGTATTGTTGGCTGCATGTCAGATGTATTTAAGACGAAATGGTGTGGACAGCTTAGCAGCACAAAAAAGTCACATGTATGGCACCTCAATGGCTAATCAGGTATTCCAATTTGCTGATGCAATGTGGCATCTTTGGCTTCACTTTTTGCACCCAAAGTTCTTACTCCAGATATATGTGGAGCTCACTGATGTGAGCCTTCTCGGCTAAGTGCGTTCGGCGAAAAAATTATTTTTATTTTCGTGAAACTCCATTTCACTTTTACTTTCGCCAAATCACATTTTACTTTTTATTTCGCCAAACTCCATTTTATTTTAGCTTTCGCCAACGTGCTTTTTCGATATGCTTTCGCCAAACGCTGTTTTACTTTCGCTAAACGCTACTTTAGTCTATACTTTCGCCAAACGCTATTTTATTTTCGCCAAACGCTATTTTACTTTCGCCAAACGTTTTTTATTTTCGCAAAACGCTATTTTACTTTCGCCAAACGCTATTATACTTTCGTCAAACGCTATTCTATTTTCGCCAAGCGCTGCTTTACTTTCGCCAAACGTTGTTTTATTTTCGCCAAAGGCTGTTTTTCTTTCGAGGGGTGACCCTCCTCGGCTTCCATAATCTGGTGATCAAAGACCGAGTGTGGTATTAATTGGCGACTCTATTAGAAAAAAATGTCATTCCACAGAAACTGTCTCGGAAAAAAGTCCATAAGTTTACATACCCTGGTAAATCAGCTGAGGAAATTGAGACGGAAATCCACAATCTAGACCAAAATTTAGCCCCTTCTCACGTAATATTACACTGTGGAACTAATAATCTTCCAACAGATGATCCAAATACATGTGTTAAAAGAATAGAAAATCTTTGCGAGAAAGTACAAAGCAAATTTCCCAATGCACAAATCGGAATATCATCTACTACATATAGGAAAGATATTCAAATAGCTGATAAAATTAAAGCTGTTAATAACAAGCTTAAGGATATGTGTTCTCCACATAGCTATAACATTATACTCCATAATAACATAGACGAGACATGCTTGAACAATAGTAAGTTACACTTAAATGCAAAGGGAACAGCTTTACTAGCAGTTGGATTTATTAAGTTTCTACGTGGAGGGCAATTTCATGCTTCAGCAACTCAACAGCACAACTACCCAAGAAATTTTCGAATAGAAGAGACATAACACAAAATAGAGACTCTTCTGAGAGCAGCAACGAAACGGCCTTGATGAATACATTCACCAACTATAGTCCAGAGTCTCCTAATCTAGCTAATAATCAAATCAATTCTGATAACTTACCGAATATTGAAACCAAGTCAGTTTCAACAATGTCAAATTCATCCTTGCCTGATTTTAATTTATCTAACCTAAAGGGCTTAAAAATTGCAAATTTGAACGTTAACAGTCTCACAAAACATATTGATGAGATTCGTATCTTTTTGACTGAAAATACTTTCGATATTTTAGCCATAAATGAGTCCAAAATTCATTCCTCAATCCGAGATTCTGAAATTCACATCAATAATTATTCTATCATTCGCCATGATCGTAATAGACATGGGGGTGGTGTGGTCCTCTACATAAAAAACAATATACCTCATTTTGAAAGAAAAGACCTAGTCCCCGCAAACTTAGATATGATATCGAAAGAAATTACGAGGCAACATAGTAGGCCCATTCTAATAACCACATGGTATCGACCACCCAATTCTGGGCTCGATATATTTGATAATTTTCAACTGTTTCTTTTTAAATGCGATATGGAAAATAAGGAATTAATCTTAGTTGGTGACTTAAACTGTGATGTCAATAAACCGACCCCCGATGTAAAAACTCATAAGTTGAAAACGCTAAGCTCTTTATATCAGTTAACTCAAGTCATTAATGAACCTACAAGAATCACTGAAATAACATCCTCACTGATTGATATAATACTTACAAATAAACGCGAATTCATCTCGTCCGCCGGTGTCTTACACCTTGGCATATCTGATCATAGCCTAGTCTATGTTGTAAGAAAATTCCATTTGCCCAAATCTGGGCCAACTATAAAAGAAGTACGCGACTTTAAAAATTTTTCTGATTCACATTTCCGTGCTGATTTACAGCAGGTACCCTGGAATACGTTTTGCTACGATGATCCTAATCAGGGGTGGATCCAGCACTAGTGCACTAATTTGCATGACACAAGAAAACTGCTAAAAATAGCCATTTTGTTTTGTAATGCAAATTAGTGCACTAGTGCTGGATCCACCCCTGATCCTAATACTAGTTGAATTGTATCAGGGGTCCATACTTGGTCCTCTATTGTCTATATTATATATAACTGATATTCCTGATTCACTGATTTACTCAATCCCCTCACTTTATGCTGATGATACGGTAATCTGTGCATCTTCTAATGACTGCATTGACCTTGTTAACAAAGTAAACATTGATCTTGAAAATTTATCAAAATGGATGTAACAAAACAAGCTTGTAACGCATCCTAGCAAATCTAAACATATGTTCATTGGATCTTCCTATAACCTTCAAAATAAAGTAATTTGTAACCCCATTTTAATTAATAATAAGTCAATTCCAAGAACAGATAAATTTTCGTGCCTTGGTGTGAATCTTTACGAAAGGTTATCGTGGGAAACACACATTGAATCTATCTGCTCTAAAGTTAGTGCTGGCATTGGTGCAATAAGACGAGTTAAACCTTTTGTACCACTGCCGACGTTAAAATTGTTATATAATGCTGCTGTACAGCCTTATTTTGATTACTGCAACCCATTATGGGACAATTGCGGCATTGGTCTCTGCAAAAAACTTCGGTTCGCGTCAGCATAACTGATATTTTGAATTATAAAACTTTTTTAAAAATATTTTTCATTTGGATGGTTTTGAAAATATACGGAAAAATTCAATCGTAAAATTGATTAAAACGTAAAGTAAATGATGTTTTCGGATCGAAAAACTTTGATTCAAATAGATGGTGAAAAATCTACGATTTTGAGGCATGTTTGGAGTGTTTTTGAACAAGTAAATAGGTAGATTTTGTATTTTAAAGCATGCAAGTATTTTGTAAGTTTAATATGTGGATTTATCAACAAATGTATGACACCTCTTTGAATTTATTCGTTGATTTCGTTAAAATGATTTTGATTTGGAAAGTATTTATTTTTAATGGTTAATGGTTGAAATTTCGCTAAAACTGTATTATTTTTAAAGCAATTCGTAGCACAATTATGATTATAGTCGAATTTGATAGCTCGAGAGTCGACTTTATTATTGTACCAAGATATAGGATTTTACTTTGCGACTCCGAACATTCAGCAGAAACGAGTATTATAGAATTTCAGTGATGGAAATATATGTTTATTACTTCAGGCGAGGGAACTTTGCATGCAATGTATTTCTATTTGTAATTATGAATTCGTAATTACCACCATACGAAATATCAAGGAAAGACCTGAAGGGAAAATAAATATCCTGAAAAACGAAATAAATGAGCTAAAGGAAGATCGAAAAGCCGCCAGCATGCCGACAGAGAATGCAAATTGGACATTGAACTCAGACCATACTTCAACTATCGAAGGATTTCTTGAGAAGGAAAATTCTAGTTTAAAAGAAGAGGACAATAAACGTAAAGAACAACTTGCTAACTATAAATGTACCGTATCGAATCTCAACGTAAAAATAACGGAGTTGGAGTGTCAAAAAAAAATATCTAACGACTGTCATAAAGATATTAAAGGACGACCAAAGACGACTGCATACACACAAACAAAAGGCGTCATGGAATATTAATTCAAGTCAAACTAAGATTTGCAATGCTTGAAACATCCTAATGCTAGAGTAATTGAAAAAGGGAATGATCATCAGCTAGAAAATCGATATGCCATATTGAGCGATACGAATAGTATTTTGCAGCGAGCCAGCCTCCAGTCAGTCAAGAAAGAAAAAGAAACGATCGGCGAAATACCAGTAATGAATACAGCGTAAAGACAAAAGCTGTAGGAACTAAAGCGGCTCAAACAGAATCACGTCAAAAACAACGAAGGAATTACTCAGACAAAACCAATGACGATGGATTAAAGTCAAAAAGTCCAACTAATAGAGTTATTGTTAGAGATTCAATCGTGAAACATCTCAACCCCAGAAAATTGCAAAACGGGATAAATGGAAAAGCTAATAATATTAAGACCTTTCCTGGAGCCAGTATCGGCGACATGTTCCATTACGTGAAACCGACAATTAAAAAACAACCTGACCATATTATATCGCACGTTGAAACAAATGACCTTCGAAATAAATCTGCCGAAGCGATGATAACAACGACACAAAAACTTGGTGAGTCTATCCAAGAAGGCAGTAAGATTGAGCTTACTCTATCCGAAGTTATAACTAGTAATGAATGATGCGCTACTGGCCGTTGTGTATAATGAGAAATTAGAAAATCATTGTCTAGAACGCGATTGGGGACTAAACATGACAATATTAATAAACTACATCTGAATAAGTATGGTCTGCACCTCAACCTGCGAGGAACCATAATATCCTGTTGGAAAAATTAGCCTTTATGAACATCAGCAAACCGTTTTGGTTATGGATTAAAAGTTTTCTAACCGGAGGAACACAACAAGTTAATCTACACGGAACGCTGACCTCAATTCAACCTTGTCCATCAAGCGTACCGCAGGGTTCAGTTATCTCATCTTCATTATTCAATGTTCATATTAACGACCTCGAGGATGTTATTCCTAAACTTGTTAATACTGATAAATATGCTGATGATTGCACCCAGTATCAGATTGTGGAAAGGGATACATGCAGTGTCATGCAAGAAGCTGTTGATGGACTAGAGAGATGGGCAGAAACAAACAAAATGGGCTTGAACCCGAAAAAAGCAAAGGATATGTGGATATGTTTCACTGATTCAAACCCAGAACCACCTAGCATCCGAATTGGAGATGATGAAATAGAAAGAATGGATATAGTTTTAAGCTTTTGGGTGTCTCATGTCAAAATGATCTTAAATGGAATGGACATGTAGACCCGACACGTTTTTCAAATCTTACTACTTATGCCATTTTCTTTTCCAAAGCACTGGACAGTGACGTCATTATGCGTAGATACGCAAGCTTTACTACGTCTTCCTCTTTTATATTCTAAGGCACTGCATGCAGATACGAATAGGTCCTTACCGACGTCACATAAATATCTACGCAGAGAACGTTTTGATGCGAAATGACGTCATACATAACGTTTCAAACAGTGTTTTGTAAAATCTTGCATTAATACGAGTTTGATACGGTTTGATATGATAAAGATGTCGGGGAAGCTAAGATGTCACACCAACTGAGATGGAAACTAGAGGTAAAGACATAATGAACACAATTGATGCCAAACTGAAATACTGTGTCATCTCAAATCTACTTAAATAGGTTTTTCAACCATGCTGCTGACCAAGAAAATCATGATGATACCAGAGTGCAAATTGACAATATCAATAGGGAAAAAACAGCTACAGAGACTTCGGCAGGAAATGAATATGACGAAGAAAAATTCAAAGACAGATAGAGCAACAGCACTTAATGCACTGAAAACCGCTCTACCAGAGAGAATGGTGAAATTTATTGCCCTCCAAATCGAACTTGAGAAAAAAAAGAACAAAGGACAGAGGTATTCAAAACAGATGAAGTCTTTCGCTCTTTCTCTTTTCCATTAGTGGGAAAGCCTAGAGAACGGTTGCCAAATCTTTCAATTTACCTTCCCGAAGCAGTCTTGCGAAGTGGGTATCTAGCTTTTCAACTTGTTCAGGATTGCCTGAAATTGCTGATGAGATGATTGCTACAAAAGTGAAATCGATGAATGAGACTGAAAAACTATGCAGCTTAACCAATCCAGTATGACCAATCTAAAGATAAAGTGACCGGCCTGGAGGATTTTGGTGGAGGAGATAGATCAAACAAGGTAGCAACAGCAACCCTCGTTTTCATGGCAAGAGGCATCAAAGAAAATTGGAAACAACCCATTAGCTACGTTCTCGTAAATGAAGCATGTTTAAGTGGAAAAATCAAATCCATCCTACTGAAATCATTGACCACTTAACATCATTGGGACTACATGTTGAAACAATGAGTGAACTTTGAGTATTTAACTGGAAAACATCCTGAGAAGCCAGCTAACATACCACAACCAGCTACAACCAGCAATGACCAGACTAGTCCAGAAAAACCCATCGAATTTGAATCCATCAATACTGACTATAAAAAAAATTAAATAGAGCAAAACTTGATTTGTAAAAATGCAGTAACATATGTTTCTGGGTATTTGCTAAAGAAATTCCTTAGTAAACATATTTGTTTAACATGCGAGTCAAGCTTCAAAACAGAGAGATGATGACAGCAGTCAATTGCTCTGCTACTTCCAGACATATAAGGGCTTGACGTCATTTCAAGAGTTTACAATTCCACACGATGCATTTGTCAGGTATGTCTCATCAATGGAATAAAAATAAAATTATTTGTGAAAGAATTTAAGAGTTGCATCGAAAGACCAAAGATTGCAAGATATATCTGTGCTCAAATGCCCAAGCTATCCAAACATGGACAGTGCCCAAACTTCCCTGAATTGTATTTAATTCAATTGTATGTGAAAATGAGGCTGCACTACGCTTTGAAGTTTGGCAACAGGAAACTAAGTTCATCAAAGAAGAAAACCAGAAATTATTTTAAGGTTGAGCATGTATAATTTCTTTAAAAAATATATAATTCTTTTTGGAAGATAGCTTTCCATCTTTTCTATAGAGAAGCGACACAAATATAACTTCAGATTGAATAGCAAATTTATTACTGTATTACATGTAATTAGTACAAAAATGTATGAATAATTATGTTAGCATTTTAATATCATTTGTGTGTAAAGCTGAATTTTTGCCAGTTTTATTGCTAAATAATTTTTTTAAAGAAATTTTTCCTGCATTTTTCAATTGTAGAAATAACACATCAATTATGCTTTTTTTTAAATCAGCTCATATGGATGGTGAAATTTACATAATTTGATGGCGACCATGTGGCATGCATTCAGCATGATAAAGAAAATCATTCGCGCTTGTATTTCTTACTTCTTTAACCTAACGCATGTGCTTTTTACAAAAAAAAATCACTGACCGTTAATCTTTAAAATTTAGGCGCAAAAATGGAGAACGATAGAGCCAACTTTAAAATATTAAAATTTTTCGTCTTTCGAACATAAATTTCCCTTACTTTAGAGTAAAAAATAACACCCTTGCAAGAGCAATTTCCGTGGCGCATGGAATGGCGTGGACAGGGGGAACAGCAAAATTAAAGGGTTTCGCCGCGAGTTCCATAACTGTATATCGTTTAAACTGTGGGTTACACTAAATACTCACGTGGTGTACCTACAAGCTAATTTACTTAATATAAATTGTATATTGTAACATTTTATTAATTATCCAACATTTACACTGTTTTGGTTAATCAGGCTGGGTTTAATAATGAATGATATCGTGTAAAAATGTATAAAATTATTGATAAATCAGATTATTATAAAATATTACATCCACTAATATTTAATGAATTGCAAAAGTGGATTGGGAATGAGAGAATGAAAAGGAAAAGAAATTGGAGAGACTAGCCAAACCAATCTGGTCAAACCGGAGTCCCGCCGGGTAAATATCCTGCAAAGCGTATAACATCAAGTTATAACATGTTTTCTTCGAACATCCTTGGCCCTGGTAAGTACTATCATTTCAATATAGAATGTATATTGGAAATAATATAGCCATAGTGAGGAGGTGGATGATTGTAAACTTAAACTTGATTACTTTATTCCACATTGTTTCTGGTCAACATTGTTGAACTTTTAAACTTCTAGCAAACCAAAATATTTAGAGCACGATTTAAATAAAGCATTTGTTTTGTTTTTCAAATATATACAAGGAATATAAACATAAATAGAATGATGCATTGCTAGTGAAATATTGGGTGCAATGTTGGTTAAACGAAGAGTGTTGCTGCTTTTTTACACCAACCAAAGTAATATGTAATATTTGTTATGGCAATTAGGCGAACTATGCAATCCTTCAATGTATTTTTAACTTACGTTTACGCTACCATTAAAATATATTAAAATTTTAATAAATTTCATGCAGTACACTCAATACCTTTCTCGTTTTCCCCTGGCTCATTAGGGCAAAATGAGACATTTACTTCTTGTTGTTGTTTTCAATAAATACATGCCACAATATTTTACAAAGAATAATTCTTTGCATTGAATTGGTTAACTAGTACTTGCTCAACATTTTGCTTAAGTGTCTTGTGTTCCACCAAAATTATGCTAGTAAGAGGTTCAAAATCAATACTTAAAACCTTGTTATATAATGCTGCTGAGATAGTGTTAAATTAACTCCTAGAAGAGTGCTAATTAAGCTCCACGTATGTGCTCCCGATGTTAAAATGGTGCTACATTCTATCTACCTTTTCAGCACTTCTTTGGTGTCAAGTTAAGCTCATTTTTTATGATGATGCAATTGTCAGTCATATATAGTATTTTTCGTTACAAAAATTTTCAATCAACCGTAAATACACTTAAAACCACCAATAGACTTGTTTCACCAATCACGAGAGATTTTTTAAAACGTATATCACGTATATTTTTTAAAAAAAAGCGCTGGCCGTAAGTGTTTTTTTTAACTAATTCACAAATTTTCAACTAATATCGTTTTAGACCAATCAGCAAGTTTGTTTACATTTTTAGTAACCCAATCGGCATAAATTTAGACTACTTCCGGTAAAAAGGTACATTATCGTCGTTCGTGTAAAATTTATTAGTAAAAACATTATAATTTCAGAGTTGGTTGTATTAGTTCGGTACCATCATAAGTGTTTGACGTCTCCACCTGCTACGCTTAATTTAGAGAGTGTATCGTTCGGTCTCAGGGTATGTATTCAACGGCGGCGACGCGAAATAGTCTAGACAAAAAAATTTACCATGCACGAAAACAAAATGCATGTATAAATTAATGTAGATTCTTTCACTTCAGGTCAAGCTGACCGTTCGTTAAAGCAAAAAACGAAATCTATAATCGATTCAAATCACACATATTCAGAGAAATAAAAAGGTGAGGGTAATTTGTAAGCAGAAAAAGGATGTACGAAACAGGATGAAGGACGAATAAATAGACCTTGGTCTTGGAACCTCATATTCGATATAAATCACCACTTAATGTGGAGACGCCACACCAACCTTATAATGGAGCGCAAAGTGGAGCGCAAGGTTTTGGAATTACGAGAACATCCCAATTGGTCACTCAAAGATTTCTGACAGGGAAACGTTCTCTAGTGTGACATGAGGCCAAACGCCAAGAGACAGAGGAAGAACTTTCTGGATTGCCTGATTTTTCATAAGCATGTGTCAAGTGTGATAAATACATTGAAACTCTTCTGCTTCGATTCATCGGGCATTGACAATTTTAACAATTTGTCCTAAGCGAATCCGTTGGTTTTTCAATTGCCATTCCGACACTTCCATAACCAGTGCCCGTAAGGAAGAATACTGTTTCATCCCCACATACGAAATCTATGATATACTTTCAAATCCAAGCTTTTCTTTCATCTTGACAGGAACACTTGGTTGTTAGAGCTGTCTCATGTCCGAAAATTATAAACCCAGTAATGCTCTAAAAGTAGCTTTCGGTAAGCAAATATTGTACATGAACCATATAAATGTTTGCAAGGAATTACACACAAACGAACACAATGGAAAGTGTGATTGTGACACTGAAAAACTCTTTAAAATTCGTCTTTATTACGTTGGTTCCAACAAGTTTTTCTTCGCTGATCGACGATTGATGGATGGTATAGTTGCTGATAGTTGTTGTAACAAAATAGGAATCCCACGTTGATTAAAAAGCATTTTGATATTGGCTGATGTAGTTTTTGGGGGTAGACGTATTCCTCGCATGGGTTGTAAAGCTTTAGGTCTCTTAGACTTATATAGTCACCGGTTGAACGTCTTCAACAATAGATT